ACGTTGTATTACTGAATTAGTTTATTGAACTGCATATCGATTTCCTCATTCAAGGTTTAAACGTTAAAAGAATACCTGCGAATAAATAGACCGAAATCCTTCACACTATATATGGTCGGAACATCTTTCTTGCTAGATGATGGCTAGACACATTTTTTCAATGGCTGAATAATTTTTCTTACAGTTGTTTAAGGTCTTGTTGGTATACATTATTGGCTTGTCTTTTCTAATTTCTCCCTGTGAGAACAGCTCCCAGTCCTACATTACAGGCATCGGTTGTTGCATTGAAAATTTTGGAAAAGTTTTGGTACGTTAAAACTGGTGGATTGCTTTAATTGAGTTATAGGCGTTTACAAATTCCGGTGAATGCTCGACCTTGGCATTCTTTTTGGCACACAGAGTAAGTGGTTTTGTAAGGGTACTCTAATCATTGATTAACCTTCTGTAGAAACCTGCCAAACCTAAAAATGATTTCACCTGTTTGATCGTGGTGGGTAAGGTGTATTCTGTTTTTTTTTTTTTATTAATTTTGGGTTTGGTTTAATTCCTGATGTAGTTACAAGGTGTCTAGATATTCGATATCATGCAAAAGAATTCTGATTTCTCCGTTTGAATTCTAAAGTTGTATTTTTGTAATCTGTCCAAAACGGTTTTTAAATTTTATTAATTAAACCTCTGAGTACATTATTAATTATTCTGGCGAAACATGTAGGTGCATTTTTTAATCCAAACGACATTCGGAGGGAAAATCTTTTTTTTGGGACAAGGAAAATTGGTGCATTTAAATGTGATTCACTTTCCGTGTTATTATTTTGTCTTCGTAGCTCCTCTTATCTGCTTCTGGATTTCCTTTTTTTGATAAATTGAAAGCGATAAGGCTTGACAATAATCTTGGTGTGTCCGACTGTAAAGGTATCTTATATTTCGTTGCGTTAGTAACAGTAACCACGTCCCCTTCACGATAGATGTTCTGATAATCCGTCAATAACTCTTCCGCTAATTGTTTTTCCTGAATTGTTAAATAGGTTAAGCTAAATACTGGTCGGTGCAGTTTTGAATTATGAACTTGTACTTTGCATTTTTGTACATTGCATACATCAATTTGTGTGTTATCAATATGTCTTGATGTAATTTTTAGTGTACCTTTTCCCGAATTGATGCTTCCTAAAATTGGTACTTTTCGGCTGTGGTGATGGTTTCCAGAATTGTGATGTTCTTCAGCCGTTGTTGAGGAGTTAATACAGTTCCCTTTCTAATTGGTATTGGTACTTCGATTTTGTTGACATCCGCTGCTGGTTTTGGGATATTTCTTATCAACTCGAATTCGCTGTTATATAGTGTGACAGTTCCTTTCCGGTAATTTATTTTGTTCGTTCAGTTCTTTGAGACTGCTAAATTATAACAATCTCTCTATAAAATTTGGCTACGAAAAATTTTAAGTTTTGACCTTCCTCGAACAAATCGACAATTACTGCTTTTCTAGCTTGGTTTGTATAGTTATTGTTTTGAGGATAAAAGCTTCTTCTGATAACTTTGGAAATATAGATTAGCAATTTCTGGGCTAATAAGCGGGTTTGCAGTTCCGGTCTCAATTAATATTCGTAAAGGTGGGGTCTACTATAAAATTAGAGGATAATGAAGTAGGTAATTCTTTTCCGAGTTACATTAAAGCTTCTAAACAATTTTCGTTCAAGATAATAGTACAATAAAAAAAAAACGAAAACACCTACTTTGTTTGATGACTTGGGTGTTGAGACCTCAATCGGTACAGGGTTCTTCCTTCGTTGATTTGGTTTTGGATACCTCAATCAGTACGTGATTGTTCCTTCGTTAGTTTGACTGAGGAGACCTCAATCAGTATGAGGTTGCTCCTTCGTTGGTATCCGTAATTTTTGGTACTAAAACACGAGCGATACACGCACTTTCACCTAATTTCACAGACACTTTCGATGATATCGGGTTCCAGTTTGTGGTAGCAACTTTCGAAATTCGCAGAATTGCGCCCGTTACGATTTTAAACCTTCGGTAGTCCTTTTTAAAAAGAAAACTCAAAAAATATTTTATTTGCATGAAGGCTACTATTAATTTTTAATTAAAAAGAACAATTTACCAAAATAATTTAAAAATGGATATTTACAATTAAACCGAGATAGAAATACTCCATGTGCGTTAATTAAAGCCTCTTAAGAGGAAATAAATCGTAAAGCCAAGATATTACAAATTAACATATATTTGTAATATATACTTCATCTATTGATAATGATATCTTCCTGGAAAAGCGTCGCGATCGCTGCAAAATACGCAATGTCGGCAGAAAATATTGTTCATTCCATTGTTACTGGTATGGTAACTAACGGTCCAGAATTAAATCTGGAAGAATGTTTTATGATCCCTGATAACGGTTGCCAATTTTATTATGGGGTGTTTATTTTATGAGTTTTACGATCAGAAAGTGCCTTTGTTGTTGTTGTTGATTTCTTTGATTTTTCACAGATTGTAGACATCCCACTCCCCATATTTTGAGTTTCAGGAAGCGCTGCCTTGCAAGTGTCCAGTGCGGATTAAAACAGTGTGATGCTCACAAGGGAAAGTGAATAATAATAAAAGTTGGTGAGTCATTGCGTTCACTAATATGCATATACGTTCGCAAAGTAGTGTGCGAGAAAACGGTGATGTTTTCACAAATGTAAGTGAAAAATAAATTTATAAGTTTTGTGAGTCATTATGTTGTCTAATGTACATATTCGTTCGGAAGCTAGAGTGTGAATTTAAATATGTGTTAAATAAAATCAACGTGCAAATAAAATTAAGTGAAACAAAAAAAAAACGGCAGCGAGGTATCGCGGTGAAACAATAACCAATTCCACATTCGGTGAAGTGCCCGTATCAAGTAACGTCGATTTCTGGAGAGTATCTCCTATGTTTCCTTACCCAAACTAATTCAGTCGTTGTTTTAAGTTTTTAGCGTAGATAGATAGTGCATAAAGATGGCCACTATTTCAAATATAACAGAGTTGAATCTGAAACAAGCAATCCTTAAAGCAGCAGAATTTTAAAAAAAGTTTTGTTTTGCGCTAAAAATAGATATGAATTGAATAAAATCAAAAATTCGGATAGTTAAAAGCTATAGAACTATGTCAGAGCAAAGTTTAATATGATTTAAAATACAAAATCAAAAATTGAAAACATTAAATTTGGAGATGAAGAGGGATGAGTCTATATAGTTAATGTATTTTTTTACAACAATTGGTAAAACAATTTCCAATAACTGCACTGAACCCCAAGAGAAGCCCAGTTTCGACCGTGACAAGTGCTGCCAGAATACTATATTCGTTAGACCTTGTTGCGAAATTAAAATAATATTATTAAAAATATTATGAATAAAGCAGGGGGTGTTGATGGCAACATGTAGGTATATCTAAAAGAGTTTGCACTCATGTAGCAACACCTTTAGCTTTTATTATTAATATGGCGATGGAAATAGATGAATGTTCCAAACATTGTAAATCAGCAGACGTTACTGAAAAGCTGATCATTCAATATAGAGAACATTGAAAATGCATTGTGATCACGGCAGGAACTTTGAATCGGCTTTCTTTAAGCAGCTTACTGAACTAATAGGCATTACAAAAATCATTACTACGCCCTTTCACCCGCAGTCTGATGGAATGGTTGAACTATTAAATGCTATTCTGGAGACCTATTTAAGGAGCTTATTCCTCTTAGCTTATAGATTCGCTATTCCCGAGACAAAGGACTGAGTGTTCTGAATAATTGGAGGAAATTAAACTCACTGGTGCTTAAACTTCGTGATAAAAAAAGATAAATCTAAAAAATAAATATAAGATAATGAGTGGGAGCGATAGAATAATAGAGGTAGAGAAAACTAAATATCTTAGATTTAAAGAGCATGCATATATTATGTAAAGTCAATAAAAGGTTAGTTGCTTAGGTATAATGAAATTTTTTTGAGTAGTTATGCGAAAGTCATTATATGCAAGAGCATGATTGCACCAAATATAGACTACTGTTCTCTTCTGTTGAATTTAAGCAAAGAATATGTAAATAAACAACAGATAATGCAAAACAGAGTGATGAGAATCATATTGAGCGTGAATCGATACATGAAAATTAGAGACATGTTGTTGTTTTTACAGTTTTAAACCTGGTTACCTAAATACTTAACTGATGTTCTGTCATTTAATAATTATGAATACTCAACTAGGTGTGGTATAAGATTCTGTGTTAAAAAATGTGTACTAAGGGTGGTGAAAAGAGCATGAAGTATTGAGGCTTTTAGTTGTATAATAATCTGAGTGTGGAAACCTGTCATGGTAAAGGGTTTAGAGTATTCAAGCGATTACTGTTAATAGAAATAAAAAGTAACTGACTATAACTAAGTATAATTGTTATGAATCATATATCATAATGATCGTGTATATGTATTTTTTGTACAGCATTTTTTGCTAATAAACTTATATACAATACAAAAGAAACTGCTTGCCCTCTGAACAGCAAAATGACCCTAGGTAGAATACTAATAAATCCGCGTAATCAACTTTCAGTTCATCTATGGAAAACTTAAAACTAGGGTCATTATTATTTTGTTTCCCGCACCGATCGCTTTCTTCCAGAAATCTCAGTAGTCCAAAACTTCTCAAAGATTTAAAATCTGGTGTAAAATTATTTAATTGGTTGACATCTTCAAATTTTTTTTGAGCTATATCTTGAACTTCCTTCCACCTTGTGTAGTTACTGTCTTCTTTTCTTCAGTTTTTTTTTTTCAAAATCGATTAAGAAATTTATTTGAAACTATAGGGAATAGTTTCTCTTGGTGATGTGATGCCAGGGTAAAAATAACTAACCAACTAAATAACTAACTAACTTTCCCGAAGGGCGTCTGACGCTTACCCTACTATAATATTTTGTTACTAATACTAAGAATAATGTATGCAAGTCTGTTTTTGTTAAATCATAGTTTAAAAAGTTATCTTTTGCAGGCTATAGGTACGTTGGAAGAGATAGTGATGCCACAAAATGGTATTTATCATGCGGGTATCTCAGCTTTGTCCGACGCTTTCACATACAATAAGAATCTTACTCTTCTCAATCTTAACGATAATACAGTGGGATATGAAGGTGTTAAAGCTTTTGTTAAGGCTCTTCCCACTTTACAAAATTTAAAATCAATTAATTTTGGTGATTGTTTATTAAAAACAAAAGGAGCAATGATGTTAGCTAAAGGATTGCAAGAAGGACACAATAAACTTGAAGAAGTAATACTTGGATACAATGAAATTAAAAAGGAGGGTGGTTTAGCTTTAGCTCTTGCCTTGTATGATAAAACTAATCTTAAAACATTAATGTTAAATGGAAATCAGTTTGGAAATTCGGGAAGAAAAGAACTTGAATTGAAAATGAAGGAAATAGGTAGGTAAACAAATTTTATGTGTTTTAGACATTTAATGCTTGTTTAAACTATTGTTTCATATGGCACGTTTATACACAAACAATTTTAAAGTTGTAATATAAAATTTGTAAATTATCATCTTATTCATTAGGAAAGTATGTTGCTCTCTCTGATTTGGATGAAAACGAATCCGAAGCTAGTGAAAGTGAAGAAGACAAAATAGAAAATGAGAACGCGGAAGATGTATCTCAAGTTGATACAGAGAAGCAGTTGATTCAGAAAATAACTGCGATTTCTATAGGAGATTCAAAAGAAGTAGATATAAATACATTCATGAAAAATCCAACAGCTGAAAATTTTGTAAATCTTGGAATAAACAGAACCGAAATTATTCTCGCAGAAGTGGAGGTAAAAGTTTTTTGTTTTAGTTATAAAATTCAGCATAATGTATTGATATTTCAGAGAGATGGTGATGCTTATTTGGAAACAATTACTCCCATTTTAATGAAAATTAGTTCTTTATGTAAAAACAATAAGGAAGAAATAGCGAAAGCTTCGTTAGAGTGTACAGTGAAATTATATAAAAGACTTTTTGAATGGGCAGTGCAGAAAGATCAACTTTCTTTAGTTAATAATTTCCTATTGGTTCACTTGGGACTTATCAAGGTAATCTTTTTGTAATAACGATTATTGTGCTCCAAAGTCTTCCAGTTTAAAATTATTTTGAAAAAGTAGAATTTTTTAGAAAAAAACGGACAATTTTGCCGTATTATAAGATGTTTTTATGTACTTATGTATAATAGTTAATATCTAGACTAATAAGTTAGTAGTTGCTCTAAACGAAAACTTTGTTGGATATTAAAAAGGTAGCTAGTGTTGTCCTGAATACACGGTGTACCACGTGTAGTATTAATGAGGAAAATTTTTGAGAAAAAAATCGTAAGGAAAGATAGTTTCACTATGCGGATACGTAAAATTGAAAAAATTTAAATAAATGTCGTTTTATACATCAAAATGAGTTGACTTAGCCGAAAAGTCCTGATGAAGAAAAATTTTCGTAACTAAAATTGTTTGCAAATCACAAAATTATTTTTTTTCCATTGCAAAAATGTAAAAAATACAAAAAAAACAAAAATATATATTAACATGCGGATTTTTTTTCATATATTTACATTTCTCCTAAGACCGTCATACTTGGCTAAAGACAGCTTTTCATTATGATAAATAATCACACTAAATTTCACCTAGATCGGATTTACAGGTTTTGCATAATAATATTGCAATTTACGCAGCGTAAAAAAAAAATGAAAATTTTCAAATTATTGTTGAGGCCAAAAAAGTGTGTAATTTTTTTGTGATGCAGAGGGGCGCCTATATTTTCGAAATTTCGAAATCCGTTTATTTGGATCGTGGCTCTGTCGCGGCGGATAGACCATAAAATCCTGCGTTCAGTATTCCGACGCTTAAAAATTTTCATTTTCTCGATTTCTACTAAATCAATTTTAATATTTTTTTTAAACCGATATTTCGAAAATTTTTGTAATCTATTTGTCACTTTGACGAATATGGAAATGCTTATTACCTGTGCAACCCTTTGAAAATGAAATGACACTGTTGAAAATACTGGGGAAGAAAATGAAAATGAATAAGAAAATTTTCCCATCGAGCTTTGCTGAACAAAGTACATAGATTTAGAAGAAATCAATAATGCTTTAGCAAAGTAGCAAAAAAGATGGAAAGGAAAAATGACATGCAGTTAAAAAGACAATTAAAGACGAGTATCCATTACCACAAATTGACGACGTATTAGATACATTAGGAAAATGTACTTATTACACTACTTTAGGCCTGACTTCTGGGTTCCTGCAAATCTCGCTCCAAAGCACATTCTCCGTTGACAACGGTTATTGTAACATGTGCAACATTGTCGTGCTATCGAAATTACTATACGAACACCCAGTATGTTTAAGACAAGTTATTCAATGATTAGATGATTTTTTTAAAGCAATACTTAGACAAATCAGAAGTTATCCTTTTCAGGAAATATCATCACGACTGAAAGGAAAAAGCCAAATCCCTAAAATATCACTTTTATTAATAATAAATTTCCGGTACCCAAAAAGATAAAAGAGCTAAAATAATTAATTTCTATTGGATACATATTTTTAACATTAGGTAACGTAAGATAACCTCGTGACATTATTCCAATATACTTTGTATTTTGTGTATTAGCCAATCAAACACTGACGAATACAGTACTAATCATTACGTGAAATTAACCTGCCTACGTGCGAAGGTCACGAATAGGTATGTATGTGTGTTTCATCAGTTAACGTTTGCAATTTTTCTTCAGCTAGTTCGTGCAGTGTTTAAGTCCTGATCAAAACAATTCATATAAGGTTACAATACGTATAATTAATAGATAAGCAGGTAGACGACCCAAACAAGTTATAGCCTTAATTATATGTTGCCCTTATAAACTGTTACAGGGAGCCGCATTAAACAGACCTTCCCTAGCCGTTTAATTTTAATAAATTTTTTTCAATAAAAATTATTAATAAATTCTTATTGTTATAAACATTTTAAATGTTTAAATAAAAAGGAGGGTGGTT